GTAAACATACAAAGCATTAACCTCTACCTCTGAAATCCTTCCTGAAAATCTCAGCAGAGAAACCATGAAACCCAGGAGCTGCACACTTTTAAGGCAATGCAGGGAATCTGGCACACATAATCCTGCTGCCCTTGTTCCATGGAATCCATAAAAGTTCAGGTTTTGCTGCTGTCCTATACAGTAATTCGTACAAGCATCTAGTAAATTTATATTGTTCTTTCAAACAAGAAAGGAAAAAATACCTAACAGTGACTGACTCTTTGGTAAGGCACTAAGATTATTCAAATTGCTTGTATACTCACAGTATGATTTCCATATTGGAGGCTGGTATTCTTCAGCATCTAAAATAGAAGCAAAAAGGGAGAAAGAAATCAGTCATTTGGCCACTGGGTCAAACTGTCAGCATGCATTTTTCTGCTGAGAGACCTCTTCTTGTCAGCAAAATTCACATTTCTTTCCCAAGAGAGATGATAGCCTATTTACAGTACAGTTTGCTATGTGAGAGAAGAATACAAATTTCAACCACTTGTGGATCCAGTGTGCTTTTTCCAAATTATTCAAATGTGGGAGAAATTAATTTTTGACCGATTTGCACTAATTACCAGTATTTTTAAAATAATTAACTGGGCTGGTAACTACATTATTTATTTGCTTTACCTGGCATGATAAACAGATAAATCACTACTGGTTTCCAAGGCGGTTTCTAACCCCACTAGTAAGATTTGAAAATGAGCATCAATGAATAACAGATGCTGGGGCTAAAAGGATGCACAGCTCAGGTTGGACTCGGATGCACAGACCTGACAGTTTCAATGAAAGTCAACTACACTTCTTGAACCCATATGTAATTGGCATATTTTCAGAAGCTGAATCAACAAAGACAATATGAAAAAGATAGAAAAAGGAAAGACTTCAAAGCCTGCCATCACAAATAGGTTACATTATTCTAACACTACTGACTAAAGCAGCACAAAGAGTTGGTGTTTTTACTTAGTGGCCACTCCACGGGGAGGTTTCCAGCTCTCTGCAAGAGAGCCAATTGCTGTAACCTACAGAAATCCCAGCAGGAGCCAAGCTAGAGCAGAAGGAGCAACACCAGTGACAAAGGGTGGGGTACTGGGTACCAGTTTGACTCTGAACTGCCACGCTGCCAAAAACTTTAAAGTCATTTACCATGGGTATGTCATTAAGTTGCCAAAACTGTGCAGGTTAATTAAGGTATTTGTTATTTACTAAACTTCTACTTAAGTTATGCTAATATAATTCAATTATAGTTGCATAGCTCTTGCTCCTTGTCTATTTACATATACACAACTACTTTAAATATATCCCTGCAGAAGTCTGTTTACTGGGAATTTTAATCACTAACTACCATCTGCCACGTTTAACTCTATTGTTTTAGAAGAGGATAAATCTGGCAACAATCACAGTTACTGCCGGGAATAGCACCCTGCAACAATTTATAGATATATTGATTGGGAAACCCATCCATTCAGTTTCAGTTTCAACTGAATCCACCTTTCAACTTAGGCAAAGTTCAAAAGGCTCCCAGACTACAGAGTTATACTGTGCTGTGGCAATCCAAGAGTAATTAGCTTGCAAGTTCATTATGCAGAAGACTTATTTTAAATTGTATGAGGCTATTCATGAGACGAATGAAATTTATTCATAAAATAAATATTTTTTTCTTTTTTCAAACTCTAATAGTATTATGTCACTCTGTTTTTCCCCCCATACATCTATTGCTTCACATATAGTTTACCACAACACCATAATATTGTATATTAAGTTCTTCTGTCAATACTTCTGTGCTACTGCAAGAGAATTTCTGAATTTCCTTCTTCACATACTATATTTTTTCAACTGAAGAAACATTGAGATAATGCAAATATCTTATTATCTGTACTGGTGACTTCAGATAAGGAAGTAATAGGGGGAGAAACAATTAAAAAACAATGAGTATCAGCTGTTGCATTAATCTTCCAAATTAATTAAAAAGTGCATAGTAAATTCAACAGTGAAAGCTGATGTACAAGTGGCCATAAAGTGCTTCATTAGCTGGAGACAGACTGATAGTGAGGAAACACTGCAGCCAAAATGGAGAATCATCCAGGAGATAAATCATACTACAAAACTGATGATTGCATTTGATTTGCCACAGTTATGAATCTGTCAGTCCCAGAAAGCGTGGACAGAACCATCCCTCAAAAGCTAAAATAATTCTAAAAGACAGCACACTTGGAGGAAACCCTCATGTCACCAGTGCCACATTCACCATTACTGGTGAGGTACTGCCACATCCTCTGTGATCCCTGCAGCTGAAAGCATGTCCCTGCATCACAGGGAACAAAATGCATAGTGCTAGTACTAATGGAGTTTATGGCCAGGCTGTTTGATGGCACCCATTTGTAAGGAAATAAAGAATAATTTGTTTAAATACAACTTGGAGACAAGGGTCATGGTTGAGGATCAGGGAGAGGTCTGATGGAACCCAGATAGAAATATCTTTATTCCTTTGTGGCAAGAAGCTGCTGAGCTCCTGTTTAAACAGCTCATCTTTGTATGGTAAAGTCTTAGGACTCCCATCCTGGTTGACTAGATTAGACTGAACTTCAATCATTCTTAAGTTAGAGGTGAAAAGAGGCAAATCCTGCCTGAGCAGATTTGATAACTTCTATTTGCCCTTTCTGAAATTTCTGTTCTTCTGTATTTTGCTATTTCCCTGTATTACACAGCAGTTTTGCTCATTAAATTGTGTTCCACTCTCCATCATGAGGCTTTGAACAGCAGTTCTGGCTCACAGAAATTAACAATAAAAGTTCGGGTGGTTGGCTCAGTTACTACAGGACACCTTTACACACAGCTTGTGCTTACAGTTCTGCACATGATAATGGTCTCAGCAAGGCCAACACACCTCAGTTTCGAGCCACTTAGCAAAAATCAATCAATCAATCAATCAGACTTGGCACAACTGATGAATGCCCTGCATTGATGTCTCATGAAATGATATGCCTCATATGAACTTTGATTGTAATGACTACCAAAACTGTGACTGACTGGCAGTGTGGGGAAAAGGTTCACTGAGGTACTCTCAGGTGACAAGACAGGGTATTTCCTATTGCTCTTTTCTTGAAAGGTTCATATTTTCTACAGTGACTTCTTGTCTAGATTCAGAAAATGTGCCAGCTAAGGCTGAAAGAAGTTGTCAAAGGAGACAAGATGAGTAACAGCTCTGAAAAGCCCAACAAAATATCCCAATGTCATCTGTGACATACTTTTATGAATGTCGGCATAAGAAAGACTCACTGTAAAAGAATTACAGAATGTCCAGTCAAGGTATTTTTAAAATTCTTTTAAGCCTTCTCAAAACTGTATCATAAATGACCTTGGCAAAACCAGAAAACCTTGGAGCAGTTACTGCAAAGACTAGAACTGGCAGAAAAAGCATGAGTGACTTCCATATATAATATTACAGGCAATACTGTTAGCTAAAAGCTTTGAAACATACTGGCTAAGAAAGTAAATATTTATTAAACCTAAAAAAGTACTTGAAGTCAGTTGTATGCTAAACAGAAGACCGAAAGGAATGAAGAATGCTGACTCCTGAGGAATATTGCAGCTATGAGAAGGTTTCTCATAATGCAAAATTGACAAAAAATATATTGGAGAAAATTGTCAAATGAAAAATGATACTTGGAACTGGAAAACGGGAGTAAGGAAGAAAAAGGTTATTTCTTCACTTTATTTGCTTTACTCTTCACAGAGCAGAGAGGATGAAAAGGATCTTAGGAAAAAATACTTTCCTAAAGCTGAAGGAACACTTAAAGCTGAGTAAGTATAGAAAGACTACAGTAAAGGGAGGGCTGAAAAGTTGGCAAAGCTTTAAGCAGACAGATAAAAAGTAAAACTACATAAGATTTTTTATTTAAAGAAACATGAAGACAGAATACAGTATTACTGCCAACAGTAGGCAGTAAAGGGTTAACACATTACTCAGAGCCATTCTTAAGCAATTTCTGAGAAATGATCTTACATTAAGTATATAGTAAGTAAAGTCATCCATGGACTTCAACCCTTGCTCTTCTTTGGGCCTGGCCCTGTACCAAAGCGTTGCCCTTCTGGATGTAGTTGTTAAAGACACAGGAATGACAGAATTGGTTTTTACTACTGCCTTGTACTTTGTGAAAATGATGATGTAACACCAACACGTGTGGGTTTGTGCTTCCAGCACTGGGGCTGATTTGGCTAAAGCAGATCGAATAAGAAACTAAGTTCAAAGTTATTCTTCTGACTCTCATGACTGGTAATGCACTGAAAAGCATAAACTCTGTTTTACAGGAAAGCCCACAAATTGCACCACATGAATCAAATATTTATGACTTGTAAGTGGCATTTCTAAGCATAAGGAAAACAGTAACAAATATCCATATTGTAGCAATATGTCATGCCCAGTTCTAGATATGCTAAAAAGTATTAGTGATTCCCATGACAGAAAAGAGTTAAGCAGACTAGCAGCAGGACAGCTCCCAAAGGGGAACTGTCATTATTTGCTGATTTCTTACAGTCTCTATGAAAAAAGAGTAAAGATTTTCTTTTTTTGCCCTTGTCCTTACTAAAGGATTATAAAAAAATATTTTGCAGTTCACCTTGGAAGAACTGCCTCAGCCTGGATTCTCTGCCACCATTGTCTGAATTTTGGACTTCCTTTCCAGTAACAACTAATTTTAAGACTATGACCTGCATGTGCAAGGAAAGACACTTGTGTGTGAGGAAAAGCCAATCTGGAAGCCACTGGTTTACTGGCAGTGTGCAGATAAATGATTCACCGGATGAACAAGTCTAGTTACTAATTTTTTTAATACTCTATTGTTATTTTAGGACCAAGACTAATAATTATGAGTGTTTTAATGCTCTTTGTATATTTCCTTTAAAGAGCTTTTTCACAGGTTTACCACGTACACTTTCATATTTATTGCTTTGTTTCCAAAACATTAAGTTAGCATATATTATTAAATGCATCTTTCTTATTTTTGTATATGTAATTATATATAGAATAGAAGACTGCTGAGTAAGAGCTTCTGTGAAACATAAACAGTGTTTGCACTCTTTATGGACCTGGGTTTTTTAATATTTTTCTTGGTACAGACAGAATTTTATTATTCAATTTAATGTGGATAGCCATCACAGGGCCACAGAATGATTGGGGTTGGAAGGTACCTATGGAGGGGATGTGACCCAAACCCCCTTCTCAAGCGTGGCCACCTATAACCAGTTCCAGACAGCTCCTGAGGATCTCCAAGGATGGAGACACCACAACCCCAGTGGGCAATCTGTGCCAGTGTTTGGTCACCCTCACAGTCAAGAGGGTGTTTCCTGATGCTCTGGTAGAGCCTCCTGTGTTTCCTTTTTGTGCCCATTGCCACTGGTAATGTCACTGGACAGCACTGAAAAGAGCTGGCTTTGTTTTCTTTGCACACTCTCTTCAGATATTTATACACTTTGACAGATTCCCCTGAGCCTTCTCTTCTGCAGGTTGCACAGTCCCAGCTCACTCAGCCTTTCCTGATAGAACAGATCCTCCAGCCTTGTAATGCCTTTGCAGCCCTTTATAAGGATCTCTCCAGCAGTTCCTGAGCTCTCTCACACTGGGGAATCCAACACTGCACACAGCATCCAGTTGTGGCCTCATCAGCAGTGAGCAGAGGGGGAGAATCACCTTTCCTTTGATCTGCTGGCAATGATGCTCCCACCAGCCACCTTCAAGGGAAGGAGACATTGCTGGCTCATTTTGAACTTGGGCTCCAACAGAACCCCAGGTCCTTTTCTGCCAAGCAGTTCTCCAGCAGGGTGGTTCTTGGCACACACTGGTGGATGGAGACTAAAGTGAAAGAGTAGTAAGGGGGCTTCTTTAGGGGGCACCAGTTCTTTTCTGACACATAAAACATAGATCCAATCTTTGGTTTCCACTCCTTGATTAGAAAAAATATCAATTACAGAAGTTTATTTTCTTCTTATCTGATCCCCTACTGGCTATATTATCCTGGTGAAGGGCTGCTTTAATTTATTTTGCCCTCTCAATAATTAATATACACACACAAACAACTATGTCACTTTGCAGTCATTTTACAAACTACTCTAAATTGGGACATTTTTCTATGTTTGATGGCACTCATTTGGCATATACTTTGGACATCATGATGACTTCTATCTAACTACCCTTACAGGCACCCCTGACCACTCTAAGAAAGAATATTCTCATTTTCAAGGTTGCAAATAATCATACTGTCAAATAAGTCCCCCACCCTAAATCCTGAAAAGTCACTGCTACTGTGAAGAGCAATATTAACTCTCTTGCCATAAATAATTAGCAATGGAGCTGTTGAAATATTTGAGCATGTCAAAAACTCTGTTTAATGTTTCATTCAGAACGAATAGTTGCCCATGGAGGAGTGAGCAGTTGCCAGATTTATCACTGAACTTTCTCATCACAAGTACATGGACAGCTAAAATATGCAATGAGACTTCAGTTCTTGTCTTAATGAGGCACTTTAGCTTTCAGCATAAGGTACAGAAATGATCAAACTGTTTACTTCCAACACAGTTCATAATTGGTGTATTAATTCAGATGATGGGAGCTTCCCACTGTGCTGTTCTTTCCTAAGAAAAAAATTAAAAATCAGCAATAGTGTGTAATTTAAATGTCAAAAAAAGCTCACAAAAGGGGTGGAGTTCTCTCTCACACAGCAATTAGACTGAAACAGTAAGCTGTTAATAAGCACAGTATAAATTGACAGCTATTTTCTATCTTTTTCCTTTTGCCTACCACAAACTTGCTATTAGAAGGCACTGCTCTGAAGGTAGATCATTTAGCCAGCTCTATGAACCAGGGTCATTCCAAATTGTGTTCTCTCCTGCTTTTGCTTCAGATTTTAAAATGGTATCTTTCCACTCACAGACAGGTGGTTGGTCCCTGATTACTTTTGTTTAATGCACATGTCTGTTTTACTAAAATGCAGGTGAAAGATCGCGCAAATAGGTAAACCTGATAATTTAGAAGAGTTACCAAATATCAAATAAAATATGAGTTTGAATTATGTGGGTTATTAGGGATGTCTTCCAACAGATCACAGGAGATTTGAATGTTTTAAATCCACAGCTATACTTGTATAACAAAATTACAAGGAGCCATGTTCTGTGGCTGGTGAGTGGTGTTCAGCCAGCTATGACCATCAGATTGGAGCAATATCCCATTAATTAAAAAATCTGCCTCTCTATTCTGCACAGATTTAAATATAATTAAAAGCACTGAAAATATAATTTTAAATTTGGAAGTTGAGAAAGAATAATCAGAGTTCTCAATAGGAATAGGAGAAGTAAAAAATGGAAGGGTATCTGTACAGTTCTAATTTTCAAACTCTCTTTAGGAGTCTAGTCTTTCTTAGGGCCCAAAAATTAGAATTAAATAAGCTCTTCCAGAGTGCAAATCCAAGAAGCTGACAGGGATCTAAGCAAGCTGATAAAAACGTTTTCAATGCTTTAAATATTTCCTGGGAAATATGCAAGATTTAAGAGTGCAGAGGAGTAATCCTATTACCTAATCTTAGACAGGTAGGTCCTTTTTAATGCTGAATCACACTGAATCTATTGCCCTTGGATGGCATTTAAGAACCTCCATAACCTAAGTGCTCTGAAAGGTATTTTTCCCAGAGCAATAATGAAGAACTTTCTTATACAGATTATTAAAGACTGATCTCTAAAAACTAGAAAGGCAGAAAATGAAAAATCATCAAATATATCTGCATCATTCATTGACAAAAAATCTGTTGTCATTATTAGCTGACATTAAATTAATCTGGTCCCAAAAAATTACACCCAAAGGACTGTTACCATTCTCTGTTCTAACTAAAGCTAGTGTAATTAAAATCTAACACAGTTATTTTCACCTTTTTATGTTTTTAACCTATAAACCAGAGGCATCAAGGCATTAAAATGGGACCATCAGAGCTCTGCCTGACTCAGAGATTCCACATATTTTTAGGAATAAGCACATAAGTTAAATCACATCACATTAGCAGACCTCCTATCTTGCACGGACATACTTTAGCTTCTAACTAATGACCAGTTAGTTCCTGGCTGAAAATCAAAACCTGATAGTCAGCTGGCATATCTGAGCATAATTCTGATGCAGTGATTTTACCACTGCACAGGACGTGGCAACACATTTCCAGTCATTCACTTACTGCATCCTAAAACTCACCCCCCATAACCTTCCAGGCAATGATCCCTGGACTCAGCAAAGCAGTTCAGGCATGGTAGGAAAGGGCATATGACAAAAATAACTACAATAATGACGAAAAATGGCATTGAAATGGTCACCATGAAGTATTTAAATTAGAACATTTATGTTGAAGTATTACCAGCACATTCCCAGTTCCAGAAATTCACTCACACATTGACATGATACCTCTTTATCCGGCTTATCAAAAGAGCCAGCACATTCCCAGAAAACTTATTAACCTTTAGCAGAGTCCAACTCATTTCTTTTGGTAACTCTGTTATTTTTGACATGAGTCATTTTATCATCCCTCTAAGCAGGGACACAAGTATTTGTCTTGTGGTGGATGTGAGGTGGTCCTAGGGCTGCAGCTGACTGTGGTGGCTGTTCATTTGTTTCTAGAGATCATCCCCATCTGCGCCATGTAGCCCTGCATTTGCCCCTCTATAAATACAAAAATATAAGCATTTTTTACTGAAAAGACTGAAACCGTATACTCAGAATGAAATGGAAAACCGCAGGAGCTATGCATATCCCAGGGGCCTTAATGAACTCTGTGGTCTAAAGACACCTTCAAACCTTGGAAATCAGAGATGAGAACTATCCTGTCATTCAAAGCAGGCATAATGATCTGCAGAAGAGTAAAATCTTAGCAAATAATTAGATTTCACTTTGGCTTGCTTTTCAGGTCCTGTAGTATTGCTGCAGCATTTGCGTCTCTACATTAAAACATGAAAAACAGGAAAAACACCACCCACCTGCAAAGCATGTTTATCATTCCCACAGCTCTGGGTAAAACTTGGAATAAATGGGACTCCTAGGATAAAAAGCAGTACTGTATTTATATACCTCCCCTGTTAGAAAAATGTGACACTATTAATCACATTCTTTGGTGGGCAGTTTTATGCAAGTGTATCAACTACATTCAAGGCCAATTGAATTATTATTTTATGTGATATTAGTCTCTAAATCTTCAACTTTTCTAAGAAAATAGGCTGGATCAAGGCCAGCTATTACTGAGGCACCCACCTTCTCATCAAGTACATTGTGCAGTTGGACAAACACTTCACAGGTGTGTTCTATTCTATCATCACCCACTATTTAAGTGATCTCCCTATACAGCTGCTCCTGCTCTTGCTATTCTGGATATGAATACTGGAGAAATGTAGACCTTCTTAAAATTTAGCTCCATGATAGTATGTTTACCCTGACAAGAAACTCATGTCTTAGAAAGATCTGTGTAACTACACCTTCTTCCCTGCAGCATTAGCCATAAAATCATTACTACAAGTATTTAAAATACAATAATGGAGTATTTGCTCTCAGATTAATATGGTTTATGTATTGTTTCCTTACTTGAGAAGAATTTAATTGCCTCATGGAAGTCTATAATTCTTCCAAGAGCTTTTTACTACAGCCTGGCACTTTAACAGTTGATAATGAGTACTTACAGTATCATATATTTACAAAATACCTTGTATGAAACCCTATAAAATTTAAAATACACTTAGGTCATCCACAAGTTTTATCAAACTAACCAACAAGTCTGTGCAAAATCTCCTGATGCCTGGGCATCGCTGAGATAATTTTTTTTTGCAACCTGCAATGCTGGCAGCATTTTCCCCAGAAAATTTTGGCCATCAGCATGTCTGAGGCCAACCCAACTGCAGCCTGGATAATATCGCAGTTTCCTACTTTGCAAATTTTAAAGATGCAGACAGCACAAGAATACTGTATTTCAGTGTCTTAGAACACATGAAATTTCTTTACATGCTAAAAGTAGATCAAATAGAGTGGAAACAGTAATTCCTATATTAAAATGGATTTTGCTTCTGTGTAACCAGAGATAGGCTGGTTAGTTTTACATAAATAAATTACAAGGGAAGGAGAAAGCACAATTTTTCTCTGTAACTTTTCTGGAATTGTTCTTCACCCTTGTAAAAAAGAACAAATAAAATTTGTTTCTTACTTCACTTATCTTGCAGAAAGACTCAGAAGATGGTAAAGCTAGTGCCTAAAAGCACATCCATCATATCTTCAATCATAAAATCAGTCAGTGAGGAAAAAAATACCCTCTTCTATCCTGTTCTTTTTAAGATACACCCAATTGCCACAATTTTGAACAAACCCTCTAACTTATCCCCCTGAAACACTTTGTGTAAGGACAATTAATTATGAATAACGTTATGGTCTTGGCACAACAGTATTTAAAAAATTTCATTGCAAAGGCTCAGGGAAAAGAAGCAATAGTCATCAAAAATTTTGCAAATGTATTTGCTGTAAGCTTCCAGCAGGTAAATAATAAACAATATTCAATACAATACCATTAAGCAAGTACACTTTCTATTGTGATTTATACCCTGAATGGTAAAGTTTAGACATCAAATATCCTCATTTTCTTTTCAGTAGGCCAAAATCAGCAGCTGATCTATATGATCCAGCACAGTCTTCCCTTTAAACAGCAAATGAGTCAGAATTCTTTAAATGCTATAGCATAACCACAGCCTTGATGATGAAACCTGGCCAAATGCAAGTCAGAATTACAGAAACTGTTTTGTCCTCGTTCCCAAGCTCCCAGGGCTCACATTGAGCTACCAGGACTCTGGCAGATCAATACCTATGGACACAAAAAAGATGCTTTCCATAATTTGCTGCCCAGTAATGAAACCAAGGAGAGCTTTGTTCTTCTGATAATATACTGATCTTCATCCAAGCAAGGTTCACATTCAAGCATTTCATTACTCCCAGAGGACAAACATGTGTCTACATGCTCAGAGACACAAAACTGACTAATGTTCTCTGGAGCACAGAGGGGAGAACAAAAAACATTCAAGCCTTTCCTTTGGAAAGATCTGGAAAATGCCCAAAGCAAAATGATGCCATTTTTTTAAGCTAAGGGGAAGGGTTGGTGCCGAGCAAGAACTGCAGGTCTTGGTGGCAACCACTGCTCTGCAGCTCTGCTCTCATCCTGGGAGACACGAAAGCTGGGTAAAAAGATGAGCTGACTCAGTCATGTCCAACATCACCAGAGCAGGATGGGTATTTCATCTTGGAAATACACCAATACCTGCGTACCTTTTTTGAAAAAGTTTTTCCTGCTTTTCCTGAATGTTTGTTATATCATACAGGAAAGCCTGTCAGAGCTTGTCAGATCATTCTAGCAGCAAAACCTCCCAAAATGCAGGTTTCCTTGAGAGCCCAGAGGACAAGGTTGCTGGTTGTCTGTGAGTTTATTGGCAACATCAGGTGTAACTAATGACTGAGACAGTGTGTTGCCCAACAACTCACCCCAAAGGAAGCTGAGGTTTTGCCAGGTTTTTGCTTAGTTTCATCAACATTTTTTGATGCTCACAATGGGAGACAGTGTGCAACTGTGTCAGCTTTGTGCATCGAGAACTATAAAAATATTCAACAGCTCTAAAATATACATTTATTTTAAACTTTTATTTCTCATTCTTATTATTTTCAAGGATAGTTAAAGGTATACCAGTCTGAGAGAGTAAATATGCCTGCTTATGACAGCAGAAAATAGACCTGAATATTAAAAAGAAACACATCTCAAGAGGCAAGGGCAGTGAGACTTAAATTCAATTTGCAAGATAAAAGCTAACCAGACCACTTACTATTGCCATCTGATAGCATTCAATATTGCTTGAAATTCATTAATAGGCTAGGTAATGTAAGTACAGTGCATGTATACAAATTTAATTCTATTAATTTCTACATTAGAAAAATCTAGTGAAAGAGGAGAATAATTTTAAGGCAATCCTACCAATCTGTGGAAAAGGCATAGAAAAAACAGTCTAAACCTCAGAAGAATAATTATCCCATGAGACTCCCACCTCCTGGGAGTGCCCATTATTGTGCTAGGAGAACATAAAACTGACAGCTATTCAGAAAGATCTCCAGAACAATTTTGGCTTAGCTCTACTGCTTATCTTACCTTACCTCATCTTTTTAGGATATCTACAAGCTTCCAGCTAACTTACCAATATTGTATTTTATTTTTACAAACAAGCAATAAATGCTTCTTTTATAGCATATACTTTGCTTAACAGTGCAAATGTTGCAAAAATGCTTATGCATCTTAAATAAAAGGTCATTCAAATTTAAACAGCTTTATAGAGTAATACTATTTCATTTAGATCTGCCTACTAACTGCTGATTGCTTAGTCCGATTAGGTAGAACTCTAAATGAAAGGGAAGCAAAGCATTTTATTATCATTAAATATTCCCATTATGGCAGCATTTGGAACCCAAAATCAGGTTTGGTGTTACGTCCAACTGCTAACAAGTACAGTTTAAAAATAAAACACAGCAGTCGCTGACCTAAAAGTGCTTGTGATTATAGTGTGTGGCAAGCATCCAACAGATAAAAGGAAAAGAGATGGAAAAGGAATAGGGTAACAAGAATGCTATCCATGTCAGCCATAAGTACCAGTCACAGCATCCTCCCCTAACTATTAAGAGAGTGGTTTCATCTGAATGTAATGAAAAGATAACTAGAAAACAGAAGAAGATGGCAAAAAATAAATTAAATAGCACAGAGCATCACATAAATACACTAGAAATAACTTAGAATGAGCTGATTTATTACTATACGAGAGAGGTTTGCTTATAAATGTTAAGAAAAATGGTGAATATTTAGTTTCTTCTGAGAGTACAAGGAAAAACAACCTCAATACATTTATGTTACATTTTTATAGAAGTGACACATCATATAAATAAAAGAATTATTTTGGATCAAGGTTTTATAATAACCTATCTCTACTGAAGAGTGAATTACTCCAAAGCAAACTGCAGCTCACCCAGGGCATATCCTTCCCTGCTTAAGGTGCAACAGAGAACAGCAGCTGACTTTATTGTATTTTCAAAGACATGCCTATAGCCTATTGCTTAGCAGTTAGATTCCAGTTCATCATTTCATCTGATGCCAGTCTATTTACTTACACTGCTGCTGTGCAAAGTGTGGTCCAGAGACCCCCAAATGGTAAACATTTTCAACTGATAAATGCTTCTTTTCTGAACCTAATTTATTGTCTAGAAGAGTCACATTTCCTCCCAGCTTCTCACTCATTAGGGTCCAGGACTCAGTCCCCGTTGGCATGAGGAGGCCAGATTTGGGAGCAGTCATGTATAGCTGATGAGTCCATGAGGCACCAATTGGTGCCATTAGACAGTGAAATCCAGGGGAATGCCAGGTTCTGCCGCAGGCAATTTACGAGGACATAACCTTTGGACAGGAAGAGACCTGAAATGTGAGCTTCCATCAAGCAACCCAGTGGCTGTGCACAAAAGCAGTGGAAGAATATTAACATGAAGTGGTTCTTCATGATCATTAGCTGCAAATAACATGTCCCCAAGAAATGCATTGCAGGCGCTTCTAATACAGCAGGAGAGCCTTCTATTAATGCTGTTCTCAAAACACTCACTTGAAAATGCTTCAGTGTTTTTATAACAATGAGAGAAACAACTGATTAGGTGCCAAAATGGTTTGATACCATCTCTGAAGAAAGGCTTTGCAGCTCTTATGATTTCTCTTAAAACAGTTTCAACTTTAGGTTGCAATGTCCTTCAAAGTACAAGTATCTTTTTGTGCTGGTTCCAACAAGGATTTCAGAGCTGAGCCCTGACTGCTCCTGCTGTTCTACAGAAGTAGAAATTAATTTTTTGCATATCCTAGACTAGGGCACTATATTCATGCACTATTTATTCTGCATCTCAATTATTATATTTATTGTCTTCTGGACAATAGGTAAAAAATCCTTGCATGCTTTACTTAAAAAGTGCCACAAAATATGTATTAGCTTAAAATTTATCAAAAAGTGAACTTAGCGTAAATAAAGTAGCATAATCCGCACTGAAGAAACGTCTCCTAAGAGACAAAAAATGAATGCAGCCTACAACTGAGACCCCCATGGTGTCTCAACTCAATAAAAAAATTTATATCGGAGATGGCCAAACTTTGATTTATAAAACTTTCAACTGCTCCATTGATTTCAGTAGGGTGAGAGTGATTTATTTCAGCCAAAGTGCTGTCCAGAGCTATATATAAGCATTGTGAGCTCAGAAATCC